TTCTAATTACACATTTCTCACCAATAGATGGTGTGTAGTACAGGAAAAACAACTAAAAGCGACTGCCTATAATGTGTCTGAATTTTTGAACTAATTTCTAACGGTTTAGCGATGTTACATTGATATTTTCTCTTCTGATGACTTTCCTACAAAATAGGCCATAGCTTCCTAGTGAAAATCATGTATGAGGGTTATTACGTCTAAATCGACAGTCCAAAGTGCTTGTTCATATCGAATTATAAATTGACAGACTAAGTTTGTCGAAAATTCAACAAGTCGGTTCTTCCAGGTTGCAAACCCATAACTATTTGATATTAACCGTTGGTTTTTAAGTCATTAATAACGAATGTGCTTAATGTCATTGGCAAGCCGTCGAAACAGCTTAATACAGCGACTGATGTCAAAATTTCTCATTTATGTTTCCTACACGCACTCGAGCTCTGGAACACATGTTTGCCCCCTCTGATCCCATTTTCTATACACTGCATCATTTCTCAATTTCTTACAATCAAATCAAAATTAATCTCGATTCAATCATTCCTGTAACTTTTTATCTAATTTGAAGTCTACGTTTATTTTTATTTTTATTTTTTTTTGCGTTTTCAGATTACATGTTTTCGAGAAATTTGATTTTTTTTATTGAGGTTTTGTATGAATTTCATTGTTTCTATGATTGCTACATGCTTAGGGCTTCACTCTGATGTCTTCTCCTAGATTTAAGGAAAATTTACGTAGGTTGTGCACAATTCTTATGTATTTACATATCTCACATGTAAACTTTTATATTTAGGAAAATTTACACTATTGCTTTAAACCTATGCATGACAAGGTGTATTTTATTGTTAAAAAATGATAATAGTATTATTCTCGTTGTGATATCAAAAATTAGAATGCTATTTGTGTAAATGAGAGAAAAAGATTGTTATATATGATCGCCAATTTAAGATGGCTCGGTTGAGTATTTTGATGAAGATGGTGAAATGAGAGAACTTTGATATTTTGTGCTGGAGTTTTCATGCTCTTTATTTTTCTAGAAGTTTCTAGAAGTTAATGATGTGTGTTCAGCGAGTTCGACATCTTTTTTTTAGGAGTGTGCACCAATATTAAGCTCTTTGCCAATTTATTAATTGAAATTTGAAAAGCTTAGTTCAATCACAAAATGTTTGTGCGCACTCCTAAATAAAAGAAGTCAATCGTCCCCTCCTACCATACCAACATTATCATCGGCTACGACTGTAGCTCCGTCTAGTTTGGTGACGAATCATATTGTTGTTGTGGATCAAGAAGCATCACACAGTGACAGCAATACTTATCAGCTTGAGCCTATGGGACTGACAAAAGTTTCCCTTTCTGTTTACCACATAATTTGGTGTTTTCAGTTTCAGTACTTTGTAGATTGTACATAATATAATTATCATACTTTTGTTCGCAATTATGTGCACTAATTAATTGTCATTTCCTTGTTGTTGATTTTGTGGCTTGGTGAGAATGTGTTTGGCTCACTACTCAGGGCTTGCGATCCTCTAGATTGTCGGAGGAAGAGCGAGCAAGCCAAATAAAGCCGACGCTTTGACTGTGAAGACATGAGGGCCTCCAAGCATACTGGCGGAGCACTCCCACATACAAAGTATAAGAGGAGACTGATAAGAGTTAATTTATGCATTAGATCTAATTGTAAATTAAATATATGCTAACTATTTTATTACACTGAAAGAATCTAGAGTTGGAATGAGATCCTGGTACTATCGAGTTACCCGTGTGCACCCATAGCAGCAGTCAGACCTAGCATGGATCGACAGTAAATCCAAGCGACTGAGGTAATTCACAAGAGTAACTAGTATACAATTCAAATAAATATTGCAGTTTATTTAGTCTCTAATTTTCCTTAACCAATTCTGTGTAAGAGACCTTCCAAAGGCTGAAGGAGAACCGAACCCAGTAGTCCGGCAGTATTACGATCCGAGGTCGTTTTCCGTTCAAATACAAGTAGTGAAGGGAGGCTGCTAGAGGTAAGAAGAATGCTCATTTAGAGCATCCACTTCTGCCACCAGGAGGAGAAGATGCTTAAGCATGTTTTCGCATTTACCATACACATTGAGACCAGAGTTGCAGCCCAACTCGCTCAAATGAGGTCGGAGATGAGGTTAGAGATGGAGTTGAAAATGAAACCAGAGTTAAATGTGTTCCAGGGTCAAGTAAAGCTGAGAGTTAAGCAGGGACAGTCGATGATTTTGAGGAGAATGATGAGGAGGGGGACTAAGGGGGATTAGAGATATTAGAGATTTTTTTTTTTTTTATTTGTCTGATTGAAACAGTTGAAGTGAACAACTTATTTTTCTGTACATGTACTTTTTTGGATAGTTCAATGCATATTTTTGTGTTTCACTTTTGCGTTAATTACTATTATTTTACTTTCATAAATTCTTAAATTGGTAAATTATTTTGTGTTATATCACATTGGATTTGAGGTTAAAATTGCAGCTTTAGAAATAGAAATGATGAAGAAGGATATTTATTTATTTTTCTAATTTTACATTTTTTTTTACGGCTTCCCATGGTGTTTTATGAATTTATTGAAGGTTTAACGACGCATTACCAAAAATCATACCCATCCTGGTCTGATGGTACATTTTATGAATTTATTGACGATTTAACAACGCATTACCAACGATCACACCCATCCAAGTTTGATGGTTTTTGAGTCTTCAGTTGGGATGATCGACAAACAGTTTACAAATGATTTGTTTTTAATTAATAAAAAACGGGTGAAGATCGTCGGTAAATCATTTAGAGATAAAGGTTATCGATTTGTCTCGCTTTTTCAATTACCCACAAACGATTTATATACATCAAATAAATAACCGACTGTTTTAAAATATTAACAGGAGATTATAGACTGTCAGAAATAAGCTAAATTCTTGAAGTGATGGAAGGGGCAGAAAGAAAGATTGTAAGTACTCTCAGTATATTATATATATATATATATATATAGTGTGTGTGTGTGTGTGTGTGTGTGTGTGTGTGTGTGTGTGTGTTAAAAGAAATGGCAAGAGACTATTATACGAGCCTCCAGCCACTCCTAATGTGTCTAACTATTCGAGTACCACCTCCGTAAGGCACATGTCGCCAGAGAAGATTCGAACCCCCAACCTGAGGGGTCTTACACCAAGTATGCCAACCAACACGCCGGGGTACATGGCACGGTACATGGCACACACACAGATATATATAAGTTTCATGCACTATGACATCTTGAATGTGGACATGTCGATTCGAAGAGAGTGGGGATGACTATTGGGGTAGAAGTCTGGACAAAGAGTGGCTGCTGACAATATTCTAAAATAACATTTTTGGTAAAATGATTATTAGGATAATAAATAGTTTGACATGACTATCTGAGAAATCCTTCGCTATAATTGGTGGAGTTTTTTTTCAAATTTAATAATTTATGTATTTGTGACGATTGACGAAGCGTTCCTAAAATGGAATGGGTTGGGCCAAATTACCTTGCCTAATATGAAATTGGTCATCATAATTAATATCAACGGTTTTCCTTCTGTAATACGAAATGTAATTTGAGAATAAAAAGGCAGAAGTTAGTTAGCATGTGGCATCCCAAATATGGAGTTGATAATTTAAAAGTGGAGAGTGATCATGGAGATATAGGCCTAAATAAGGAGTAGCTTCATCAGCACTCTATGATTAAATTCCATAATAAAAAAGGTAGAAACTTACCACAATAAGATAAAGTTAGCCCCCAAATATATGAGATCAATAGGAGCTCTATGGTTTAGTGCACTAATTATGGAGCACTTTCTGGATTGTTAATTACGCAAAAATACTAGCTCTAAATAGGTTTAAATTCTGGTATTAAGTGTCAATCAATATAGTCTAAACAAAGTGAAATAATTTCTAATTTAATTAATGTAAGTTGGGTGACTTGGGAAAATAGATTTTAAGCTGGTGGCATGGGAGGACCTACCTTTGGTTACTTGGGTCTATTGTCCCACAATGAGGAGAAAAAATAAGGACGGTCTTACCACAAAAAGAAAAAGTGGGGATGAGATTTAAAATTAGCCAATTTTATTTATAATAGATTAAGTTTACCCCCTCTGGATAAAGAACTTGGTTTCGCTCTTGATTGATGGATAGGATTTTCTTAAAAGGTTGAAGAAGCGACTAAAGATGTCCCAGATGATTCTTCCTTCGGTGATGAAGGCAACACAATGTTAGAATAATGAACAAAGTAATATTGAAGAGATAAAGTGTCTATAGCCATGGGTGAAATGAATCTAGCTCAATAAAGTGGAATGATCTTTAGGCTATGAACAAAGTAATGCAAGAAGGTTAGAGAAGTCATTAAGACTAGTTGATGTAGTCTTCATTCTAGCATAACCTTAGATGAATCTGGTCAAGAGACCAATAAAGATGGCCAGAATGGCCCTACCAAAGTACGTTCCTTAACTTTTACCTTAATCAATATAAACTCCAAAGAATATGCATATAAAAAGAACACTGCTCATCACAGCTGCAAATTCCTCTAACAGAGATAAGACAACAAAGCTTAACAGCAACATATTCATAAACAACCACAACGGACAGCTTATGTGTCTCGCTCGAATCCCGCGCATCTGCATAACGACAATCAAGTAGAGACGCCAACACAAACCTGGTCTGCCCATCATGCCCGCTCTCTCTCTCCATTCCCTTTTTAATATAATATAATCACATCCCAAGGAATCTTAAACAGAACTTATCTAGCCAAAGCCAACCCAAATCTCACTTTAATTATATCGCATCCTCATCATTTGTCTCCTTTAACAGTCAACGCACTCCAAGAGGCACCAACAACTTAATTCGTTTTATCATCACAAAATATAAAATATGTTCTTGCGGGCTAAAACACACTATATAAATAGATAAATACATAAACAAAAGCATCTGCAAGTTGATAAAAGACATTCTACGACGTGCTAATATTAAACCCAAAAGTGTACAAGAACACGAAAAAACATAACCAAAAAAAAAAAAAAAAGTGATACAGGATGCAGAATAGAAAGTTGACTGAAATTTTAAATATATATACTTATATGGTTTTATGGAAAGGGAAAGGGAAAGGGAAAGGGAGGAAAAAGAAAGTGATGATGATGAAGAGATAGTGGTGGTGTGAGCAAGCTGGCAGAAGTCTACTAAGCAAATACGGGCGTCAATCCAGAAAAGAAATTGACCCAAAGACGCCATTATTTACGTCAGACTTTGGTTTCGTCGTCTTCCAGCTCTACGGCTTGGATACTGAGGCGGCGCCCTCCTTGCCGGAAGATCGAGAGAGGTCGTTTTCACAGCCGCCGGCCACGGCGGACTGCACCGTGAGCACCGATAGACTTGGAGACGACGGAGCGTCTCCGGCCCCCGGAATACCCGGGATTAGACTGGCCAGATTGTTGACGGCGCCGGAGCCGGCGAGGAGGCTGGAGTTGGGGCCGCGACAGGAGGCGGTGGAGATGGCGGAGGCGAGGGAGATGGGCATCAGGCAGAGGCCCTTCCCTTGAAGGTATTGCATCGCCGAACCCATGTCTTCCTCCATCAGTTTAGCCACCTGGTGTTCCGTCGCCGGGGGCGCCCGCCGGCGATCCCCTCCCTGGGGCAGCACCACCCTAGAAATAACAAAATAAAAATAAAAGGAAATTTAAAAAGTAGTTGTTAATAAAGCATAAAGCCAGGGGTTTTTGGGTACTTTATCTGGCAGCACGCCGGTCCCTGCCATCCCACTGGCCACTATATGGCAGTCGCATGCCAAAAAAAACAATTAAAATAATGTATAAATTTTCCCCCCAACCCCTCTGAAATGAATAATAAGGAATTTGGCAGCATACCAAATCAGAAATGCCGGATTTACGAAAGGTTATTAAAATCCCTCATATTTATAAATTTAAAATTAAATTTTCGATTTTTCAGCCTAAAATAAGAATCTTTCTATTGACTGCATGTCATTGATTTCTTCTGAAACATCAAAATTATCATCGCGCTTCATTAACGTCATTGTTCCCTAAGCCAACCTTAAATAACGTCAGTAAAGCTTAGGCGATCGATGAAGATGGAGAATCACTAGATGTGTAGTGATGTGTCATGGCGCCATATGCATGGTACTCCCTCGAAAATTTTTCATATTTACTGATAAAAGATACTTCTTTTAAATCACTACATAAAATTTTATTTTATTAATCATTATAATAAAAAGATCGACCAACTTTGACGTCAAAATTATTCCATTTCATTTCACAGGTAAAAGGATAAAACTAGCTTAGTAGGTCAGGATAATATATATATATATGACATAATGGATTAAGCTTGTAACTTGAATCTAAAGAGCAAATGATAAGAAATATGTTCATTAGAAAAATTTAAAAAGAACAAATAGTAAAATAAAATAATATCAACAAAATTTGTCCTTGAAATACATCAAAGAAAACTAATGATGATAATGATGATAAAGGATGAAGCAAAAGGAAGATTAATAAATGTATTTGCAAAAAAAATACGAAATTTACTGGGTATTTTGTATTTAAAGAGGTTTAGGTTGAAATACTTAGTTTGTGCGCTAAGGTCTAAAATATTAATGAATGTATAGAAGTAGTGATAAAAAATCGTAGTCATCAACTTAGGTTTTGAATAACCTTAGGGATAATCTGCATGAGTAATAGTGGAGTACAAATCATGAGATTGGAGTGTTTAGCTTAAATATAGATTAAGCATTAACCTATGAGATTAAAAAACTTTCATCGTGACATGATAGAAAGACTATAAATAACGAATAGTTTCTCATATCGATAATTCTTAAGGAATTCCAAGCAAATATCTCTAAATAATTAAATAAACCGAAGAAAAGTCATCACCTCAGAGGAAATGTCGGCGACGAGAGGAGCAACGGCGGCGGCGCCTCCCAAGCGGCTCATGCTAAGTACCTGATCAACGAAGTGCAGAGAACCTAAATCATCTCTCCAGCTTAGCTAACATGCAATTATTAAATCCCTAATCCAACTTTTAACTGATGGAATTTTTCAGGAGAAGAGAGATTAAAAGGCCGGAATACTTACCTTAACTTGAAGCTGCAAGAATTTCACGTAGTCGATGATCTCATCCAGCATGGAAGCCTTGTCCGTCTGTAATTACAATTTACAGACCCAAAATAATTTTAAAAACTAAAGTGCAAAAACCAGAAATTTAGGGGCGGTTTCAAAAAAGATTAAGGTTCGCCGGCGGCACACGGAGCTGAGGAAATGCGTTGTCGGGCTTTGTAATCGTCGTATTGCCCAAGCCAGATATCGCCGGAGATCGGCAGGGACGTTAATATTTAATCACAAATGTAACTATTAAAATTATAATTAAGAGCTTGCTTCGGATTTTGTAAAGCAAACAAAAAATTAATGAAACAATCTAAAGCTGTTGAAATTCAAAGATAAATATACTGAATTTAGCAAAATTATCATATTAGAAATAACTCTAGTCAATTTATAACAGTTTAATATAATCCTGATAAAAGTTCAAAAACGGTTAAAAATCAAAAACAATAACTTATAAAAAATCATTTTTTTAAGAATAATATTAAATGTTAATATATTTAAATCTTTCGCTACCTTGTTTGCGTTGGGTACGAGTTCCTGAAGAGCTTTCATCCTTTCTGCGATCCGCTCCCGGCGAAGCTGCCAATATCATAAACCAAAAACAAACAAACAAATAAATAAATAAATAAATTGCTAAACTAAGAAATCTTAGTTCTTTCAGACAAAAACAAAATCAAAAGTTCTGTTCCCAACTTCCCGATTAATTATATTTTCCCCCTATTAAATTTTTTCAGAATTTTATTTGAGTGAAGCTTTATTCCTCCCTTCCACAATTACTACTAAAATCTCTGCAACCTCAAACTATATGCAATGGCTGAGATTAAATCTCAATTTTACAAGGACTTACTCGTTCTGCGATGCTGTGTGGATCCGTGGCCTGGCCGCGTCTAGCGCGGACTCGCTGCCGAGGAGCAGCAGGAGCCCCAGAGTGCGGGTGGGGCAGGTACCCCCCCGCCGGTGGAACTCCACCAAAGCTCTGCTGAGGCATTGTTCCACCCTACAGTTAACCGTTTAAAATTATTTGTAACGTAAGTAAATAGTAGAAAGTTGAATCCATTCAGTTTTCAACTGTGTTTGGAAGAAAACCTGAGCCTGGTGAAAATGTTGCGGCTGGTTCGCCGATCGTTGGAGTGACGCACTACCGAATCCATTGTAAAGCCCCTCTGCTCCCTGCGAACGAAATTCAACTACATGTATTAATCTGATAATGTGATGGAGAGGAACCTGTAATAAATTAGTGGATTGGAGTACGAACAGTGGAATTAGGGGATTTGAAGGAAGCATCGGAATCAGATCCGTGGCCGGCGGCGCTGAGAGAGAGCGGCAACGGAGTGAGGACACTGGAGTCGGGATCTGAGGTGCTTGGCCTCCCGCCGATAGCCGAGAGGAGCAACTGCTGTTGCTGCTGTGGGCTGAGCGGCAGCATCATCGACTTTCCTACCGGAGATCCACCGTCGCCGCTGCTAATCTGGTACTGCCGGAGCCGGGAAGCGAGGAGGGAAGATTCGTCGTATCCGGAGGCAGCGGAGGCGGGGTTCGTGAGATCCCATGGGGACTTTGCAAGGTCCGGCCAAGAAGGGATGGTGGAGAACATCTGGTCAAAGAAATCATCGTTGCTGGCTGCCGATGGGTCGAACGGGGAAGAGGAGCCTTGCAAATTAGGGTTCTGGATATGGGGCTGACAGCTACCGTTCGAGAGCTCGTGGAGGGCAATATGGGAGGCAGAGGCAGCTGTTGCTGAGGGCGCGGAGGATCCTGGCATGCCGTTCATTGAAGCTCCCATTGATTGCATTTCTCTGGTGCTAGGTTCCACAAAGGAGGCTCGCCAGGCGAGCCCGATGATAGGGTTAGGGTTTTCCCGTTTGGGGTAAAGGAAGAAATATTTGCAGAAGCGTTCAGATTTTTCTCTGAAGGGAGAAGGAAACGGTGGTAACGAAAAGGAGACGGATAAGAGAAACCGGTGGGAAAAAGGAGAGAGAGAGAGAGAGAGAGAGAGAGAGAGAGAGCGAGGGAGAGAAAGAGTGGAGAAGCAGTGAAGAGCTTTTCGTATCTTTATCTTATTTATAAATTTCAAACTATTTTCTTTTTCGTTTAAGCCCCTGTGCAATTATATTTTGACAAAATGCAAATTTACATTTAAAAGATTTAATACATGCCCGATCTTAAAATTTCAATTTTTACAAATATAAAAATTGAAAATTTAAGAATAGGTATATAAATATATAGGAAATGAGTGGTATGTGTGTAAATACCCCCTTGTCCTTTCCTCCAAGAGCTGATCATCTGTAAGTTTACTAAACAGACTGCTTGGGTGCTAGTGATGAAATCACAATTTAAGTAAAATGAAGGCTAGATTAAAAATTAAGGAGTAATAAATATTAAGTCCTTGAGAAAATTTTAAAATTATGATAAAAATTGTTATTAAATTTAAAATATCGTTAACATTAATTGATTATTAAGTACTTATTAGAAAGTTTATTAGAAATATAGGGATAGCTAGCGTCTCTATTTGAAACCCATTTATCCCAGCACTAATTAGTATTATTTAATAATTAATCTTGATGTATGACCAGATCGAGGCGGCACGAATCTCCACACAATAATATGAAACACGACAAACGAAGTGGGTCCATAGTTGAGATGCATCAGAGCCGATCGAGGGAGACAATTCAGATTATTCAGATAGTAAACACTCAAACCCAAAGGTCATCATAAAATACCAATGAGTAGTTTGGTCATATGACGAGCAAATTGACCTCAAAGCTGAACAAAGGACCAAGGAACTGTGATAGGAACACCGGTGAAGCAAGACAAAAAGATCACATACTATCATCATGTGGTTTCTCTCGCTAAGAGACAAACAAATAGGAGCAATCCGAGCAAGTAAGGGGTCACCCCATCAGTGAAAAGTTTGTTTGTATAATGTATCATGTAAATTATTTTAATACCCATGAGTTCCTTTGTATAAGAAGAGGGCATAAAAATAATTATATATATAGGGAACCTCCCATACCTATAAATAGAGAACCTTTCTCGAAGAAAAACTCTAGATATGTTTTCTACTGTTCATTTTCTTATTTGACTCATCTTACATACGATATTTCTTAGGCATGACTCCTGCACATTTTTTGGTTCAGCACATAACAAAAGGTTAGAAAGAACATTTTTGTGTTCCTTAAGGACCTTCTCATATGCATGAGACCAGATGAAGTCACCAATGGTCGAAGGGAAATCAACCTCAGTGGAGGATTCAGAATAGTAGTCCTTCAGATCGATTAAGGCAAATCGATCACTTGAATTGGTACCTTAGCTCCCTCTTCTTACATCGAACCCCAACTAAGCATGGATACCTTTCACTTCTTCTAGGGCGGCAGCGGAAGCAAGTCACGCAGATTGGTCACAGATGTCTTCCTCTTCCGAAGTGGCTCCTTTCTGTTGGGATGATCATGCTCAAAATCAAGATCGCTCAAGACAACTGGAGAAGGGTTCATCCGTTACAGACAAATTGATAAACATCTGAGCGATCGACTAAGGGGTAGCAGATCCTGCTTCTTCTCTTTTTTTCAAAGTCTTACCCTTGCAACATTCTGAATCCCCCCGACTCTTTGTCTTTACAGCCTCTTGGTGCTATGCACCCGAGGGACCTGCAACCGATAGAGGGCTTTTAGTTAGCTTCACATGAATTTTCCTCTCGATAAAGATTAGCACTTTAGTGACAATCCTTTGGAAAACAATAGAAGAATCAAACATAAACCATTTTCTCACCTTTCGGGTTCTCCCTAGTACATACCTCAAGAGGTTTCTTCAAATCTGGCACTCCAGCATTTTTGAGGCAGTCCAGTTCTTGGGACTCACAAATAGTCGGCAAGAGATCTTTCTTCATCACATCCTTCACTTTCAGATCGTTGGATCTCAATAAAATCGGTGTTGTCATCTTTTTGTTGAATAGTTTTAATAATATCTCAAGAGTATTACACTTCTTCATTAGCCCTATTTATAATGGATTTAGATGTTCATAGTTCATTATTAAAATGGTTTAATCTCATTTATTAAAACCATTTTCATACCTCATTGTTGAACCCAAAAGTGTCTGTGAATCACACCCAAGGAATGAAGCGCGTGAAGAAAAGAGAAACTTAACGAGGAAGATAAGATATTTTTATATATGGTTTCAACAACCTTTATCACAATTAAGGATTCTATATTTATGTGGGACAATGATTATTCATAAATGGCAATTATAAATTGAACCCTTTTGATCGGTCGACCCTCAATCGATGGGCTTCATATGCAATTGATGAATATCTGGAGGGTTATCTTCTTGTCGATCAGTCCGTACATGAACGGTCACGAGTTTGTCCGCCTTTGGCTAGCTAGCCATGGGGTCCGTTGGCCATTGGTTTGTCAACCAGTCAGTCTTTGGTCGGTTGAAATCGGAATACGCTGGAATGACGCACCCTAAATTCGGCGTAACGAAGAACCCAGAAAATGATGTAATGACGTATCCTGGATATGGTATAGCAACGCACCCTGAATACAGTGTACATCCCCTGAATACGGTGAAATGAAGTACCATGAATATGGTGTAGAAATGCACCCTGAATACAGTGCAACAACAAAACTTGAATATAGTAAAACATCGCACCGTGAATACGGTGTAATGATATATATTGAATACAATGTAATGATATATCATAAATACACTGTAATGGGGTATCATTAATATGGTGTAATGACACAAAATGAATACAGTGTAACGAATCACTTTGAATACAATACAACAAAGAAACTTGAATACGGTGTAACGACGTACCCTGAATATGGTGTAACAACATACTCAAATACGGCGTAACGAATGAAACTATATTGAAGATCCTAATGATAATTGCTTATAAGTCGTACTTATGATACAACAACTTTCTTTAGACTCCTAAAGTTTCCTCCTTATGATGTATACTGACAAGTGATGTCTATGGTACAATAGTAAACACGACAAAAAGGGTTGAAACCCCTAAGTGCTATCAATACAACCATTCACTACTATCTTTGTGACTAACTGACGCTATTGCAACTCCCGACTACGACCTTCGTAACCAACTGTTGCCATTATAACCCTCCACTATGGCACATGTGGCCAATTACACTCTTACATTCATCCACTACGACCCATGTGACCAGTTACTATTATAGTTGCTCACTACAGCATTTGCGGCTAACTGTTATCATTATAACCTTTGTGACCAACTGTCACTCCTGCAGCAACTAATTACGGCTGATGTAGCCAACTACTACTACGTCTTTTAATTACAATCTCTACGTCATGTTGATGTTATTACAATCATCATCTACAACATTTATGGGAGACTACTATCTTTGTAGCAATTAACTAAGGCTTCTGCAATCCGCAATTGATATTATCGTCAATAATTATAGTTTTTTGTAGCTCAAACACGACTTTGAAAGCTGGACTACTATTTTACATTTTTAACTAGATATTTTCTGTTTTCGGAGAAGAGTGAATCAATGTACTTACAATCATATAGTATATTACTTTGACTTGGTCGGGCCCCACAAAATTTTCTCTTTCTAGATTTCAACATAAAAAATCTCAGTATCTTCTACTATATTTCTTTTATCTACGAGTGTACTTGTGTGTTTGTGTTGAGATATTAAATTGTTAATTCATCGTCACGAATTTTCTGGCACCTAACATTATATAAAAAAACAACTAATATTAATTTTTTGAGGCAAACTATATCTCTCGACATTTATATTTTGATCTGATTGTAAAGCTAAATTTGTATATAAATAAATAGTAAAATTTAAACGTTCAATATGCAAATATATAGATTGTATAAAACTTAACTGAATTTATTAAACATTTAAGATTGTGGTGGTGGGCCCCGTAACGGCCTCGGGATTATGTGACAGGTGTAAGCCAAGTAGGCAGCTCAAACTACCACGTCGCTGTACGTGCGGGACCCAACCGTAAGTTATGAACTGAATTTTGTCTTCGAATCCTGAATTCTCTAAAAACATTCGGGATATTTACATACGCAGCACACAATGCTCTTGTATTAATATATCTAGCATCAATATATAAATATTTACACATATAGCACTTTAGTTCCTTAAACATACACATAAAAAAACTGAATTTCATTTAATTTTAAAAATTAGTGATAATACTATATTTTTATTTGATATTAAAATTTTAATTTTATGTATATAAATATAATCAATTAATGGTAAAAAAAAAAACCTCTTAATGTTTAAATTATTTATTTTCAAATCAAATATGAATTGAATATAAATATAAATTTCATTGATGATCGAATAAGATGTTAAGATTTTAAGCAATAGATAATCTTTTCTTTTAGAAAGCCAAAAAATTATATATTTTATATGCTTTTTTTAAGTATATTCAATAAATTTTAATAATGAACTAAGATGTAAGATAAATTATATTTTGTTTTATTTAATAATGAACAAAGAAATATAGTCAATATAGTTTGGAATATAGTTTGGATTGTATTAGATATGTAAATAAATATCCTTTACCAAAAACAAAAAAAAAAATTTAAGTATTTAATCAATCACTATTTTTCTAATCATAAGTCATAAATAACTAAATGAATGTGCAAGTAAATCTAATTACTTAGATTATATCACAAATATTTTCTTGTATGTTTTAGCTCTCAACTTTATTGCATCTGCATCTAAGTCCTCCATTGACTTGGAATCTATATACATGAGCTTGCTTTTGGAAGTCCTAGTCATTTAATTCACATAAAGATGGAGAATATTTTTCATCTAAGTTAATAACTTTCTTATTTCATTCATTATTAAAAAGAAGTGTTAGGAAGGAAAGTCCTTGTTATTTGAGAGATGTCAGCCCATAAAATATTAGCTTGCTCCTTCCTTGAGAAAATAAATAATAAGGGGTTTATTGCCACAATAAGATGAAGGACAAAAAACAAGTAATATATCAACCATATTTTGCA